TCCGAATCGGACCGATTTGAAACTCGGCCAGCGCCCAACTCCGCTGCTGCTGCGGCCGGGTTTGTCTACTCGACAAAGTCGCGCGCGGGGGAGGAGGGGAGAGGGCAAGCTCCCGCGCAAGTAGAGGGAAGAAGGTGGAGGAGGGGGGGGAGGGTGTAAGTGGTGAAGTTTTTCCTCCCCACCGGGGGGCTGATCCAGGCCGCCGGTCTCGCCACACCAGGCCGCCTTCTATCGTGCGGCAATCTTTAATTAAACAAAAGGCGTGAGACCTGCTCTGCTCGGCCGTCCTCGCCCTCTTGGTGCCTCTCGTACCCAAAAGTTTGTGGGGCGGGGCGGGGCAGGGCAGCGCCTGGCACTGAGGATCGCTGATGAATAAGAAAAGGCGCCCAGCTGCATCGGGGCCGCCCGCCCGCCCGCCTGCCTGCTGCTGCACCTCCACGTCATGTAGGTCAGGGGTTTGTTAATTTTCCATCGCACAGTTCACGGCGCGGAGATGGGGGGCGAGTGCGCGGGCGTGGTGGCTGTGGGAGGTTGGAGTCTGAATGACGCAACCGCACGGGGGAAAAGGATACGACGGGCAGGTGCAGCAGCTGGGAAATCAAAGCGGCAGTATCCCGAAGAGTTGTTGCGACGAGTGCAGTTATTGCAACGGCGCACTCCAGCAAACGTATCCGGATTCCTAGAAAGGAAGGGAATTAATTTACGAGCAGTGCGGAATTTCTGATCCACTTTTCCCGGAACACACCTCCCCGTGTGCTCGGTGGCGCCATCGATCGAAGCCCGCGTAATTTGAATGACGGCGGGCGCGGACTCTGTGGCCCGGGATACCACCGCATTTTGGCTGCCACGCCTTTCTCTCCCTCTCTCTCCCTCTCTCTCCCTCTCCTCTTCCTTTGGGGCTTTTATCCCCCTTCCCCCGACTGTTACACGCCCGGAGGTATACCTACCCCCAGCTCACCCGCGCCCGTCAACCTCCTCTCCCTCCCTCTCTCTCTTGTCCCTTCCAAGGCCGCACAGCCCAAGCCCCGGGTGGGGCGGGGGGCACAGGCGCGTTCCAGAAACGCATCTCTCTCGGCATTGCAATTCGATTAAGCAAATTTGGGCGAGTCGAGTCGACGCGGCTGGGTTAGGCAGGAAGAGAGAGAGAGGGAGAGACGGAGACAGCAGGGAGGAGAGTCAGCGACAGGGAGAGGGTTGGATGGGTCCCAGGCAGGGTCGGCGGGCGGGCGAGGACCGTCGGCGCACATCAGTGACCCATCATCTCCACCACGTCTGCGGCGCCCCGTCGGCCTGCAGTAGCGCCGCCGCCACCTGGTCTGGCGCTCGCTGCTGGCGCTCCAGTCGCTGCAAGCGCGCCCGCCGTGCCCGCCCAACCTGATTATCCGGAGTGGGTATTCGGGAGATTGCTTCCGAGAGGTGGGTAATCAGCGGCGGCGGTGCTGGCTGCCAGCGGGGCCTCGTCGTAACACTTAACCCGAGTGACCCCGGAGCAAACGGAGATGGACCTCGCCACCGCCATCCCCAAACCACCGCTGCCCTACCTCCACCCCTACCTCACCTCACCCTGCCTCCAATCCTACCCTACCTCCACCCCTACCCCTACCCCACCTCCACTCCCACCCAACTTCCACCTCTACCTCACCATCATCCTCAACTCATCCTACCTCCACCTCCACCCCACGTCCACCCGTACCCCACCTTCACCCTTACCGCACCTCCACCCTTACCCTACCTCCACCCTAATCCTACCTCCACCCTAACCCCACCTCCACCCCAACCTCTACTCCTACTTCTACACCCGCCCCGCCGTACCCGACACCCCACAGTACTCTACCTCCCCTGCGCCGCTGCGCCGCCTGCCTGTGGGCCCGGCGGGGCCCAGTTCACCTTCACCCCCCTCCTACAGGTTGTACGAAAGACCTCGAGCGAGTGACAAGTTTTCCTCGCCCTGCGCGCGGCCGTACTACACGGCGGTGCTCTATTTGCCGTAGATCGCGCCCTGTCGCGCCTCCGACGGCGCCCTGGCCGCCTCAGGGCCCTGCCGGAGCATCGCGCTATGACGCCCGCTAGAACTGACGGAGGGTGGCAGGGAAAGTTTTGAAGGCTGCAGGCCGAAGGCTCCCCTCCCCCTACTCTCTCTCTCTCTCTCTCTCCATGTTTCGGGACGCGGCAGGCGCCTTGACGGGTGTTTCCCTCCGTAATGGACATGTCTCTCAGCGCGGGCGGACGGCGCGGCGGGCCTATGGGCTATTCGGGGAAAGGGGTTGGAGAGACGTCTCGCCTACGCGAAGCGTGGCCCGGGACGGGTGGCTCCGGCGGACGCAAAGTGCACTGTGAAACGACAATCAAAACACACCAAAAAAAAAAAAAAAAAAACAAGCACGCGAATGGTCATTATTGTGAAAATCGTACAGCGTTCTTGCAATTATGACCCACTTCGACATTTCGTGTCATTTATACCCAAGTTACAAAATCGACAGGTTTAAATTTTGTGTTAATAGTTATGACATTTTTAAAAACAATATTTAAGCTTTAGATATATTTTTACAGTGTGTCCTTTATGTTGTTGGAGCGGGCTGCGGTTGGGTTGTGTGTGTGTGGGGGGGGGTAGGGGGGGAGTGTGACAACCCGACCTGAACCCGAATAACGTGCTTGGCAAATGGAAAATGATAAGACAGCCTCACATTAGCAGGAAGGTGTGCGGCGGGAAATTCAGGAAGACAAATGACGTCCCTGTCTCCAGCTTTTCTTTGTAGCCCTTCCCTCCCACCGCAGCATAGCATGTCACTCGGACGTTGTAGCATTTGATAACATATTACGTATTAAATTGTTAATTTGCCTTGTATCATACGTAGAGGAATTGCGTTTATTTAAATTTCTATTGAGGTTTTGTCACAATTACTTTAATTAGTTGAGTAGAACCCTTCACTGTTTAAAAAAACCTACAGGAGATGTTACTAGAAAATTTTCTATGCTATGAGTGTTGTAAAATTACAACTTGCAATCGTAAATAGTTTTACTCCTCTGTCTGCTGATGTTGAACGCGACGCTCGTGTGTTGCCGTGTGACCTCCAACCTCCGACCCCCATTGCCAGCCACATCTTCCGCAGCAGCGGGTGTCAAAGGGCGTGCGCCGGTCCCCGGGCCGCGCGGGACGGCTGCGGTCGTGGCCATGATCAACACCGTCAGCAGCACGAAGGGGAGGGGGGGGGGGGGCACTGACAGCCATGGGCTCCCACGGGAGCCCCGCACACCACCGCTGCGCGTGTGAGACTTAATGATATAGGCCTCGATCCACATAAAGTGGAATCACTGTGACAAATATATCGTCGCCAAATTTACAAACATTTCTTTTAATTTTTATCATCAAAAAGCAGCGCTCATATTTGCTTATGTAAGGGGCCAGAGACAAAGTAAGTCGCGTCTGAATAACGGCCTCAATACTAAATATAATAATTATTGGGGTGTCGCGTTAAAATACTACCCCGTCCGTAATTTGTGTACCTATACACCACTGCCCTCCTCCACACGCACACACACACACACACCAGCAGAATTAGTGTTCGTTATAAATAATGCGGGGCGAGGCATGCGGGGCACGTCTGGGCTCAGCCCTCTCCTTCCAGACGGGCGGGGCGGCCCGCCGGCCCGGGCAGCAGGGGCCTAAGGTTTGTCGCCCGCGCGGACTTTAAATGAGAGACGCCCCTCCGCGTCCCTGCGCCC